CCCCACGTACCACTAGCTGCGGGAGTTTACTGACGCCATTGCCCGGGATCGCAGCCGATTAATAAACCCAGTGTCTTCCCGAAAGACAAGCTTATAACTGGTCAGGGAGATTGGTCATTGTTTTGAAGGACAATCCGCTTCCGCGCTGAGATCCTAGCCTGAAGGAGGACCACCTATCAGGCACTGTGAGTGTGGTCACCGGTTACAACCAGGGTGACTGCCCCGTCTCATGGAGGAGACTATGACCGGGATCCGCCGCCGACTATACCGACGCCAGAAATATGGACTGACACCCTCTATATGTGGGGAGCTAGTCGAGTCCGCTGGGTCGATTCATCTGGGCAACCGAACACTCGGCTCGCTACTCGATGCAGCCTAACCCATGGCAATACTGGCGTCCTGGGCAGGTCCGCACAAGTCGAATCGATGTGGGCCACGGCGGTCATCGTCGCTCCCCGTGGTGGAATCCGGTCCGCTGGCGCTCTGAGATCTCCATGTCTTGATATCCGGCTGAAAGGCGAGACGCCTCCATCTGGGGATCTGCCTGGGAATCGCGCCTCACGAGTATGCTTCTCTAGCTAATACCCGATAGAGCAATCGCACAGTATTTCTCGACGATGTGATCACCGCTATCAGGCCGCTGACGGAGCGGAGCGCTGCGAGTTCAAGGCGACGTGTACGATATCCGCGTCCACTATCCGGTATCCGGCCCCTGTGTTCCCGGGCCTAAAAAAAAATCCTGATCCGCCTCAGCCCCCGGGGGCCACCAAATGTGAGCTAACCATGACATTCGAGGTGGCGTTTTAGACCACGAGGCGTCCGGCCAGATGGCCTGCCGAGAACGCCTCGGCCATGTTTTTTGTTGCCGGTGCGACGACGTCGTAGCTAGACCGAGAAGGTGCGAAGGTTTACAAGATTCGCAAGAACTGGCTGCCTCCCTCCGACCAGCCTACACCCTCTTGTGGATGGACTGTGTGCCGAGACTGCGGAAGAAGCCGAAGAGGGGTGGACCTATTTCCCTACAACCAGCTCAGGGCTGCTGCACAGCACCACTACTCTGTCGAATGGAACAATCCAGGTTAGCGAAGGCATCCATGGCTACGAGGAGTACCTGCTGCGCCAGAATGCCGACATCGGTACCGACCGCTGATGCCGGTTTCGTCGCGCCGCTGGCAACCCAGCCCATCGGTTTACGCGCCGAGAGATCATCGACAGGATCACAGCGCTGGCAGCGTAATACCATCAGCCTGAAAAATGAGTCGTGATCATATGTTTATTACGGCGGGATGCCCAGGGATAAGGCCGAAAAAATGCCTCAGTACTCTTCGCGAGAAGTCCTCCCTGAAGTACAAGCCATGCCCACAACTACCAATAAATCCTCAGGCGTGGGAGTAAGCGCGACGGCGAGAGTCCTGATCGGTGACGAGATGACTGAGTCGCGTTTTCGGGGTTGGCGAACCTATCGGGCGCCATGCAGCAGAGAGTGTCACCGACTGCAATAGCTGCAATGACTGCTCCCCGTTCAGGCGGTTACGATCACGTCGACTCAGGGCTCTTTGCGTTCTGACTGTCCTAATCCCGCCCTCGCCTTGGTTACAGATAGGTTGCCGCAATCTTCAGCCGCGGCATACCACCTTGCCAGCAGATTGGGCGGCGAAACGGGTAATCCCGAGCCAGATATGTTGCTGAACAATTGCCGCAAAGACAGCTGTGCACCGCAGGGATATGCCAGACGCGCAGTCAACGGGAGTCCTTACACCGGAACGGGGAGGTGAACCGAGTGGCAGGACCATGTCACAGGACTGACGCGTCCTGTTTGTCATGTGGGGCATGCCCGGGCGGGTGCCATCTGCACCCTGGTAATGGCCGACTACGGGGCCGAGGTGATCAAGGTTGAACCGCCCGGCGGGGACCCTTTCCGCTTTCCAGCCCGCCTGGATTTCATGGAACCGCGGAAAAAAAGGCATTGTGCTGGATCTCCGCACCACCGAAGGCCGCGAGCAAGCCATCCAGCTAGCCGCCGGGTGCTGATGTTCTGGTAGAGTCCTTCCGTCCCGGAGACATGGCCGACTGGGGGTTGGCGTATGACACCCTGTCTCAACTTTACCCGCGGCTGGTCTACTGCTCCATCACGGGCTTTGGGCAAAAGGGCCCACTCCGGCGGGTGAAAGGGTACGAGGGTGTCGTTGCGGCCAAGGCAGGCCGGATGCTCAACTTGAGGGACAGCCTAACCGGGAAGGCCCAGTGTATTCGGCGCTGCACACCGGTAGCTGGCACGCCAGCCAGGCTGCAGTGCGCGGGATCCTTGGCGCACTCCGCGTGCGGGACCTATGCGGGCGTGGGCAATGGGTCCAGACCAGCATCGTCCAGGCCCTGGCTTCTCCCCACGACAACAATGTCGGTGACGGTGGACTGGTGAATATGCAGCTCCGGCGCAGGGACCCGGAGCGGTTTCCCGGAGACCCGGCGGCACCCGAGGCCTCTCCTCCATAGGATACGTTCCCGTGCGGACCAAGGACGGCACATGGCTCCAACACGCCAATCAGAGGGTCCGCACATCCAGGGGCATCTCAAGGCCATTGGCCTTGGGCACCTGCTTGAGGATGAACGGTTCGAGAAAGTTCCCGCCATTGACTGGAGAACCGAGAGCTCCTGCGCCGGGAGATACTGAGAAGCAGTTGGAGAAGACCGCCGACGAATGGATGGAGATTTATCTCCAGGATGGCAATATCGCCGCTGAGCCCTATCGTAACAGCGTCCAGGCGATGGATCATCCGGCCGTGGTCTCCAACGGTACAGTGGTAACGATCAATGATCCTCGTGTGGGCCCCATGCGGACCTGGCCCCCCTCGTGGATTTCAAGGACACCCCGGGAGAGCCAAGCGGACCAGCCCCTGATGTGGGACAGCACAACGCCGAAGTGCTGGGACGTCTGCGGCAGCCGTCCGTGGCCGTAAGCGGTGGCTTGCCTGAGGGAGAGTGGCACCGATATGGCGGCCCACCCCCTGTCAGGGGTCACCATCCTGGACCTGGCGACAATCCAGGCCGGGCCCTACGGCGCCGCCCTTTTGGCAGACCTTGGGGCGCGGGTCATTAAGATCGACGCCACCGATAGGCGATTGGATGAGGGCGGCGTTCCACTGCACAGGCAGTGGCCGACCCACGGACCTACGCTGGCAAGGAAGGCATTCAGGTGGACCTTCAGACCCCAGAGGGCAAAGAGATCGTGCATAAGCTCATCGCCAGGGCCGATGTTCTGTCGCACAACTTTCGCCTCGGCGTTCCGGAGCGCCTCCAGATCGATTGGGAGACCTGCCTGAAGATCAATCCCCGCCTCGTCCATGTCTGGATGGGGACCTATGGCGAAAACGGGGTACACGCGCGTCGGCCGGGCGCCCATCCAATTCCCGGCGCTATCATGGGCGGCGCCATGCGGCAGATGGGCCGGGGCATGCCCCGCCGCCGGAACAGGTCATAGATGTTGAGGAGACCGTTGAGGCGACACGCTGGCTCATGAAATCCAACTGGGGACCGGACCAAAACACCTCCCCGGCTGTGGCCACGGGCATCATCCTGGGCCTTCGGGCGCGGGACCTCACCGGTAAAGGCCAGCCCGTCCACATCACCATGCTCAACGCCAATGCCTGGACTAATGCCGATGAGTATTTCGACCACGCGAAACCGCCCTCCCATTGCCATGCCCGACGAAGAACTTCATGGCCTTAACGCCCTGTACCGTCTCTACCGCTGCCGGGAAGGGTGGGTGTTCCTGGGTTGTCTGTTCCAGGACGAGTGGGAAACATTCTGCCGCACTGTGCAACGGGGAGAGCTCCTGGCCGATCCCCGCTTCTCTACTCGAGAGGCGCGACAGGCCAATGACGAAGCCCTGATTGCCGAGATCTCGGCAATCCTTGCCGGGCGTACCGCTGCCGAATGGGAAGAGTTGCTAATCAAGGCGGACATCGGTTGTGTCCGGGCCGATGAAGCTCTGGAAGGAGAGTTTTACGCGGACCATCCCCACGCCAGGGCGAATGCTCTGAGCGTTGAGGTGGAGCACCCGTATGTCGGAAAGTACCTCCGTTACGGCGGGTTGGTCGAATTGTCCCTGACTCCGGGACTCTACCGGACCTCCATCCAAATTGGCCAGCACACCAAGCCCCTGCTGCGGGAAATCGGGTACGACGACCAGGAGATCGAGGACTTTGGAACGCGGGGAATCGTCCAATGGGCGGACCCCTCGGTGGGTGGGGAGCCGTAGGCCAGTACCCCCAACATGCGTCAATCTGCTCCATACCTGGGTAATCTCATCTGCATCCAATTTGCGAAGGGAGGTCATACTTGGCAATACTGGTCAGTTTCGATATAGATGGAACGCTAGAAGCAGGAGACCCACCTGGGCCGATCACCATGAGCATGGTCAGGAAGGCCCAGGCGCACGGGTGCATTATCGGTAGCTCATCTGACCGTCCGCTTCCAGTACAGCAGGCCATTTGGGACAGACACCGCATCGAGGTGAGTTTTGTCTCATCGAAGCAGGGACTCCTGGACCTGAAGTCTCGCTTTTCGGCCGAGGAGTACTATCATATTGGCGATACGGAGTTGGATCGCCAATTTGCCCTGACAGCGGGGTTCCATTTCGTCTCGATGGATGCCGGAAATACCGAGCCGTGGATTAACGGGAGGACCAACCAGGATTAGACGCACTTTCAGCATGCTTTTTCTTTCCCACGGGCTTATCCGGACCTGAACCTGAAGAACGCCACCTATGATATCGGCTCGGGAATCTGGTGGGAACATGGGGGAATTTGACCATGGGCGACAAAAAACTTTGACCAGCGAAAATACTCTACATATAATCCGCTAATCCGCGCCAGATTGTGTCGGTGACGGCAACGCGCGGTGAGCAAGATTCCACAGGAGGGGAGAACCATGTCAATGATTCCAGGGCTAGAGAGACCTGTCCCGGTCCCCAATGATCTGACCAAGCCCTTCTGGGATGCCTGTAACGAGCGGCGGTTGGTCTTGCAGAACTGCACCGCCTGCGCGAGGCTGCATTATCCGCCCACACAGCGATGCAACGAATGTGGCTCGGCCGACAATCTGGAGTGGAAAGAGGTGCAAGGCAAGGGACACATTGACGTGTACCTGGTGATACGCGACTCCCGCATCAGGGGATTTCGGGCGGCGCAGCCGATCAACTTTGCGGTGATAACCCTGGACGAGGACCCGGGCATCAACTTCTTGTCCAACCTTCCGGGTACCCCGCCGGGCGAGGTCCCCGTTGGAGCCCCGGTGGAACTGATATTTGAACAAACGAGTACCGGCCAGTTGGTCCACGAGTGGCGGGTGCTCACCTAGCCCACCTGGGTCTACGGACACGGTCAATAGCGCAGAGGCATAAGGGAGCTGAGATGGTTAGTGACACGAGTTGGATGAGAAATCGGGAAGGTATGGGAATCTGGGAGCACCGAGGCAAGGTCGCCGTTGTAGGTTGGGGTCAGTCCCATATGGACCGGCGCTGGGACGGTGTGGCCCTGGACAGGAGCTGCGGCGGCTTGAGCAAGGAGGCATGCCTGAAGGCAATTGCAGACGCGGGCCTGTCGCTGGACGACATTGATGGGCTTATCACCAGCCCGGAGACCCGTGCGGAGCAGACTTGGGCGCCTCGCCCTTATTTTGACCCGCCCTACGACACCGAAGACGGCCTGACCTATGCTTCGGCGGAGTGGATGCAGAGGGAGTTGGGGTTGAAGAACGTAAAGTATCTCAAATCCGATGCACCCTACATCGGCCCGATGATGGGCCTGGCCGCTCAGGCGGTCGGTGACGGTTTATGCGAGACCGTCCTGGTATGGTACCCGATGGTTAACCTCGAAGGCCGGTACGGGCACAACAATCCACAGAATATCAATCAGGAGGCCCCCGGAAATAGCGCCTTTTCTCTGCCGTGGGGTTATCAGAGCGGCGCCATGTTCAACAATCTGGTGATCTTCCTGCAGTACTGCAAAAAATACGGCAAGTCCCACGACGGGCTGGCCCCTCTCTGTTTGAACTTGCGCAGAAACGGCCTGATGACTCCCTGGGGGTACTACGCTCTGCACGAGCCGTATCAGCTCACCCTTGAGGACTACTGACCGGGCGCGTGATCGAGGAACCGCTGGTGATATATGATTGTGACAGGCCAGTCAATACCTGCGCGGCCTTCATCTTCACCACCGCTGAGCGTGCCAAGGACCTGAGGCAAAAGCCGGTCTACGTCCTTAACCATGCCCAGAACAATGGCAGCGGCAGGAGCACCATGGCAACTCTGGAGGAGCATCAGGAGGCGGTTGCCAGCCTGGCACGGAAGATGTGGGAGGGTTCCGGGTTGGGTCCGAGGATGTTGATATATTCAACCCGTACGACGGCTACCTACGTTCACGCAGCAATTCCTGGAGGGCTTCCAGTGGCACGGTGTCAAGCTGGGAGAGGCCCACGACTTCTATGCCGACGACATCAGGGTCGAAGGTCCGCATCCCTTCCTTTCAAGTGGTGGAAATAACGGAACGGGGCGCAACCGCGCCGTCCTCTACGCTGATAGCATTCAGCAGCTCGGGGGACAGCGGGTGCGCGGCAGGTGACGGTGCGCGCCGAAACCGCCCTGGCGGGCTGCAATACACCCGACAGTAACGGCTTCATCATGTTCAGCAAGCATCCGAGCTAGAATGCAGCCGCGCGGAGCATGTTCGTTGCCCTCGGCTCTGTCGCTATCATCGGCTCTGTCGCCATCAAATGAAGGGACAATCCACTAGGTACTTTTGTCCCCTTTTTCTCTTATTTCCAGGCGGCTTTCGCCAAGTGGCGAAAGCCGCCGTATTTGTAGGTGAGCTGAATGATACGCGTGTTACCTTCCTGGGCCCTCAAACCCCAGGAGCTCAATGCCCAACCCGTCCCTTGGCTTGGGCAAGCACTTTGAAGTCGCCATATTCGTTCGAGTCCACCAGGGTCATCATGGCCATACGGCTCAGTGCCGTTCGGGCTGCGGATAGGCCTTGCGTTTGGAGGGCATCGAGGAACGAGAAGAAGCCAAGGTTCGTCAGGAACCGGCTCTGTAAGGCGTAGCCCACGGTGGTTAGACCGTGCCGATCACCCATCCGCATGAGGGACGTGAAGTCCACCTGGCAGGTAAGTCCTGTTGCCCGATGTGCTGGTATCGGGTCGCTGCTGACGACGTGTCGGATTGTAACAGACCAGCGTGCCCCGGGCATTCTGGGGCGAGTAGAGGTCAGTGGCCAGTTGACCGTAGTCGATATTGAGAATAAACCCGCGGTCCAGGGCTCTGGAAGCTGGCCAGTCCAGTCCTCCATGGCCAGGTTCACCTCACCGCGATACCCTTCAGTCAAGGACAAGCCCAAGCTGGTCAGCCTCTTTTCGATGCGGGGTGAGGATGGCTCGCCCAGGACTTCGGTGAGATTCTCCCCCGCCGAAGTGACGAAGACTTCCTTGACTCTTCCACCTTGGATGGCGAACCGGTGGACCGGGAAGTTGTCGATCAACTCGTTACACAGGATACAACCAACAACATTGCGGAACGCCCTAAGTCCTTCGGTTTTAACTCGTTGGATTCCGAAGATCGTGTCTTGCCCGCTTGAGGATATCCGATCTACAGTCCCGTTGGCCCAGTCAAAGGTGTGGTCAGGTGGTTGAAGCCATCCAGGCTCGTAGTCTGCAGCGACATAGTAAAGCGCCTGAGCGAACCTGGGGGCCATCCGCCGGCAGGCATCCACGATGGATTGAGCCAAGACGCCGTCGCCGGAACCCACCTCGATCACATGGAAAACGGGAGGGTCTCCGAGGAGGTGCCACATCTGCTCCAGTTGCCGGGCGATCAGGGCACCGAAAACCGGGTGACTCGTGGAAGAGGTCCCGAAATGGGTGCTGATCCTATTGCCCCGGGCAGAGTAAAAGCCTCCACCAGGCGAGTACAGGCAGGCTTGCATGAACCGAGCGAATGTAATTCGCCCATTCTTTTGAATTAGATCTCTGATCTCCTGGTCAACTGTTGAGCGCAACGACATCTCCCAGAACGGCTAATATTCCCTGGCTTTTTCAGCCAGCTTATCGTTGGCAACTGCGTGCGGGCAGTGCATCCGATTATGGCATCATTAGTATCTCTGGAATAGGACGAGGTGTTGATTTGCAGGGACTACAGGGCAGTAGGGCTGGAGGTTTTCAGGGTTGGACCCGTCGAGAAAGTCGCCGCGATCACACTCGTGTTTGCGGAGAGCGGGCGTCGGACTTCTAACCAACCAACCTGAGCGGGAACCACAGTGGCCAGATCGGTATTGCGGGGCAGGCCGCGACGCATACGTCCGATGGCGTTCTCCACGCCGCCCTTCTGCCTCGTCGATGCCGGGAAGAAGGGTCAATCAGTCGTTTAGCAGGGCGTAGACCGCAGCCGATGGAGTCAGGTCGTGGTGCGAATGGCCCTTGCCAGTGACGTCCTCCATCAGCCGGATATCCCCGGCTCGCAGCACCCGTTTAGCGCCGTCGCTGGCACCGATCTCAACCTCACCGGACAGGTGGATAATCAGTCTGCGCTCGGGCAGGGGATGAAAGTCCATGTGGCGCGACCCGTCAAACTCCTGGACACGCACCTCGGACACATTGATCAGGGCCCCCCAGCTCCGGGTGATCCTCCAGCTTAAGGTCTTCGATGTGGCTTTCGCCGTCGGCGTCCGAAAAACACCCGATATATTGCCATTTCGCCTCCCGATACATTTGTGGAAATTTTGCTGCTCGTCCGCGCGCCTCCAGCACTACCAATATCGTCACAACGCTGTCTATTCTCGCACACCGACCGATGTCGCGTTACGACACCGCAGCCGGAGGTTCCGCAACGATATCGCCGGTCGGGTATCGCCGTGATTATCCCACGATCGTTGCATGGAGCGGCCCTTTTTTGAATGGCAATTCGTACTGTTCGCTACAGCAAGCGCGTGATTTGGCGTGCGCAACGGTCAATGTCCCCAACACGGAAAACTGACCGTTGCCCTTGACACACCCCCAAACACACCGCGGCCATCACCGCTTCAAGGCTCAACCTCATGCCCAGCTTCCGACGCAAATTCGTCGACTGGTTACACGCCGTGTGTGAGATCAACATGCGCCGTGGTTGTCCGCTGCGCTGGGAGTACCACGACACTGAACAGCGCGTCGTTGGAAAAGCCGGCGATGTTGCCAATCCATGCAGGATGTCCGGCTACAACGCCCGGACAATCGGGTATTGATGAGGATGACGATGATCCAACCTCCGGACCGCTCCCACAGGGATTCCACACTGTACCGGTCCACCACCAAGCGGTTGCGGGGTTCCATCCACCACGACCACCTGCTGAGCAGATCGGTGAGCGATTGAATCTCAACAAGCTTGTGGCACCTCTGGGAGAGTGCTACTGCCCCGACTTGGAGCACGAAATGGCGCTACGCTTCATGAAGCCGTTTGCTGACGAGGTCATACCCCACCTGAAACAGAAAGCGTTTCCGGCGTTACAATAGAGGCGTCAACCAATGAGATACCATCCAAACAATACGGAGGCCAGAAGCATGACGACGGTAGGAAGCGGCAAGTACACCTATGAAATGGTTGAAAACTGGGCCAAGCTGCCAGACGGGCGAGAACTTCGCCATGGTCAGCGCCAGTAGCCACCGACTCCCAGGACCGGGTGTTCGCCTTCCAGCGCAAGGACCCGCCCATCCTCATCTTCGACCGGGACGGCAACCTGCTGGACAGCTGGGGGAACGGCGCATTCTCATTCGCCCACGGCATCTACATCGAGGACGACACGGTTTACCTGACCGACCGGGACAGTTCCGTCTGCCTGGTCTACACCATCGACGGCAAGCCCATCCAGATGCTGGGGCGCCACGGCGTCCACTCGGACACCGGCTGCGAAAACCCGGGCGACCTTTGCCCCCGCGCGGCCGGCCCCTTTAACTACCCAAGTGAACTGGTCCCATCCCCCTCGGGCGACCTGTACGTATCCGACGGATACCGCAACGCCCGCATCCACCGGTTCAGCTGGGACGGCCAACTCAAGCAGTCCTGGGGGCAACCAGGGAAGACGGAGCCGGGGCATTTCCACCTTCCCCACAGCCTCCTAATCCACGATGACAGGATATTGCTCTGTGACCGGGAAAATCACCGGATGCAGCTCTTCACCCTGGACGGCGAGTTCATCACCATCTGGGACGATATCCAGCGGCCCATGGACATCTCCGTGGACAGCGAGGGCGTCCTGTACGTCAGTGAGGGCAGCGTCAACGATTCTTCGGCCCGGGTCAGCGTCCTGGACGGTTCCGGAAACGTACTGTCACGCTTCGACTGCCGCGGTCCCGGCCACGGCAGTTGGGTCGACTCCCGCGGCGACATCTACGTCGGCCTCAGCGACGGCACTGGTGTCGACAAGTTCGTTCGCCAAGGGTAGCTCTCGGCCGGAACCCGTGGAACCAGGGAACCGGACCCTCGGAAACACACCGGCCGGAGCAGTCCGCTCCGGCCGGTGTGTTTTTTGGAACGGACACCAGCGCCGCAATTAACGCACCATGCCGCCAATCCTGGGTGCGCGTGCGGCTGTTGGGCTTTTTTGACCTCATCGCCTTCTGTGACACAGAGGAACGCATCGGCCTGGTGGACGAGTAGTGCCCGCAGCGACATGGCCATCGTCCACGTCTGCCGCTTCTTGGTGGAGGCCACCCGCACCGTCGCCGAGGGAGGCGACCTGCCCGGCACGGCCACCAGCTACTACAACATCCGCGCCATCGAACGGCTGCTCCGCCCCGGCGTCGAGTGGCGGGAAGCCATTCTGGACGAGATGTACCCTGCAGGGGAAAACGGGGCTTCGACACCCCGCAGGGACTTGCAAGGGCACGGGGCTACGGAGAAAGCTGGGTTTTAGCTGGTCAACCTCGCCCGGACAAACCATAACGGCGGGGAACACTCCACGCCGTCCTGATTTGTTCAGCCATTTTACGGGTATTTACGGTTAACGTTGTTTAGTCGTCAGAGACTACCGGCCTTCTTGTTCATAAAGTCCTTGATGGCGTCGGCGTATTCTGCCCTGGGGAACTGCTCCCCGTTGGGAACCTTCATGCCGTCGCAGAAGATCTCCAGGCGGTTGCCGTCCGGGTCCAGGAAGTAGAAGGAGCGGCTGCCGCTGCCTTCCAGGTTCCCGCCGGACTCGATGCCGTGGGTCAGCGGGCCGCTGACAATCTCTGCGCCGTGGGTGTGGATGTGGGCCAGAGCCTTCATGAATTCGTCGCGGTTTTCCACTTCAAAGGCCACCTGTTGCACCAGACGGGCCCGCCCAGGAACGTTCTCGGAAACGTCCACGCCTTCGGGAGCAGCGGCGATGACGAAATCATGGTGGGTCTCGTCAAACCGCAGGAAGGCTGTCTCGGCCCCGTCGGGCCGGCGGCGGCGGGAAGTCACCTTGCATCCCAGCACCTTGGTGTAAAACTCGAAAGACCGTTCAAAATCGGAAACCAGAATCCCCACATGCCCAACGCGCTTGATCTGGATGCCCATAACAAGTTCCTCCTAGCCCAAACTCGGTAGAGTCCAGGACCGGTGCGGGTTTTCCCACTCCATGGGAACTGAGTGGATTGGTCCAAATTATATACTCTGGGAAGAAGACTTGTCCGCCAGCTTCGCCCGCTGAACCGGAGCTTTCGGTTTTCTAACAAAGTGGCTAATGTGGCGCCCCTGAAGGAGTGCTACCGTCGCGACTTCGGGAGACCAGCCAACCCTTCCGAGGTGATGGTCGGGGCGCTGCTGATCTGCTCGCTGTAAAACGTCGCATCCTTCCGACGGCAGTTCCCGGCGATCTCGGAGAACCTGGCATACCGCTGGTTTTGTTTTCTGACCATCGAGGACCCGGTGGTCTACCATTCCAGCATCAGCCGGTTCATCGACCGGATTGGCCGGGATGGTTTCGCGGCGGTTTCATCCTGACCTGGGGGTTACTCATGCCTCTCTGAGGGAATAGTCGGCCGTAGGCCTGCCGGCATAAACGGCGTTGTCAGCAATAAGCACGCCAGCGCTGGGTTCGGCCGGCCAGGGGCCTAATACCTGCATTGCGCTCCGGGGTGTGGTCATGTTGCCTTGTCTTTCTCTGGACCCCAGGTCACTCCGAATTCTGCTCGTGACACCAACGCGCCCGTCAGGGTTTCGGCGGTCTGCCCTGCCAGCCATACGCCTGGCGGGGCCAGGGCATCGGGCTGGACCATGGGTATGTGGGAGGTTCCCGGCCAGTCCCCGCGCCGGTTCATCCAGGTGTCCACCCGGCCGGGGTCCAGGACGTTGACCGCGATGTTGTGGGGCCTGACCTCCTCTGCCAAGCTGAAAAACATCCTCTCCAGCGCTGCTTTGCTCATCGAATAGCCGACTCGTCCCTGCCGGTATCCCCTGGCGGAGCCGGAGGTCACGCAGTATATGGAGCCTCCCTCGCCTTGGGATATCATGGACGGGAGTGCGTACTTGCAAAGTAGCAGCGGGCCGCGCACATTGACCGCCAGGCATTGGTCCAATAGCTCAACGTCCGAGGTCCACCACCGGTGACTCACAGTCCATGCCCGCATTGCTAACGAGAACGTCAATCCGGCCGAAATGGTCGAGCGTGGCGGTCATCAGGTCTTGAATGTCATTGACCTGCGCCACGTCGCAGTGGACCGGTATCGCCGTGCCTCCCCGGGCGGTGATTTGCGCTGCGGTATCACCTATGTCGCCCGACCCGTACTTTTCGTACTGGGTGCCGGCTGACCTGTCTGCTTCAGTACGAGATGTTACGACTACCTTCGCCCCGGCGTCGCCCAGCCCCAGGCAGATGGCGCGTCCAATCCCACGGCTGCCGCCGGTTACAATCGCTACTTTGCCGTCAAGTTTCATTCCAACCGTACCGGGGTCAAATCAATCTGACCAGAATTTCGGCAAGCATATACGGTCGTTCAGGTTGTCGCAAGTCGCCCGTACCAGTATGCCATTCTTGACGTTCGCCGGGTCGGGCACCACCAAGGATATTCCCACCTCAGCGGGGTCGACGGGTGCCAAGCCGTTGATCTTCAGAGCGCGACTGCGTTCGTTGCGCCTGGAGAATGGCTGGCGCCGCACTCCTCGCCTGACCGCGATACGCCAACACCCGACCCTTGGGCATCCTAGATCCGGGGACGGATGTTCTGGTTGTGGCTGAACAGGTTCGTCGGGTCGTACTTCTGCTTCAGATCTGCCAGCCTCTGGAAGTTGTCCCCGAAGGCAGCCTGTATCGCCTCTTCCCCTTCCTCCGCCTCGGTGCCGACCTGATTGATGTAGGCCCCCGAGGAGAAGGGCAACAACGCCGAGGCAAAATCGCGGACCCATCGGATGTGGACCTCTGACTCCCCCGGGTCCAGGAAGACCGCGTTGGTGGCCCATTCGCACAGGGCGCCCCGGTGACCGAAGGCGGCTTCGTTGGCGGGCACACGCCGGGCGGCGTTACCCAGATACTGGAAAAGGACGCTCGAGAGCGGCGAGGTTATCCGGCCAAAAAAGTCGAGCGTGATGTCCAGCGCGTCGTCGCTGACTTGGCTCATGAAATGGGACTTCAGGTAGTTCTGCCGCCATTGGGGGGCCAGCGCCAACGCTTGGGCCTCGGTGTAAGTCATGGGCCTTACATCGTCGGATAATGGAGGGCCGAACTGCCGCAGCGGCCTGATGACCCGCTCTCCCTCTTCAATGGGGCCATAGTAGCAGAGCAGAATGCTACACGCTTTGCCGCCGCCCTCGGGGAGGGTCGTCAGGAAGGTGATGATGTTCATCTCGTCGGGCATATCGGCGGTAAACTCGCCGATCAGGCCGAAGAAGTCCCTCACCCTGTCGTATGGGTAGACGAGGCGGCCCGCCAGCACCATAGGGCCCACGGGATGCAGCCGGTACTCGAGAGAGGTGACGACGCCGAAGTTTCCTCCGCCGCCCCGCAGGGCCCACAACAGGTCGGGGTTCTCGTCGGCGCTGGCAGTGAGCGGCCGGCCGTCGGCGGTTACCACGTCGGCGGAAATCAGGTTGTCGCAACTGAGGCCGTAAGCGCCGGACAGCCAACCGATGCCGCCGCCCAGCGTAAGACCGGCGATGCCGGTGTCCAGGTCGGTCCCTCCGGGCGTGGCGAGTCCGAAGGCCTGGGTTTCGTGGTCGAATGCTCCCCACTTTGTCCCGCCTTGGGCCCGGACCGTTTTGGCCGCCGGATCGACGTGCACGCCGGTCATCCGGGACAGGTCGATCATCAGCCCGTCGTTGCAAACGCTGTTGCCCGGGAAGTTATGGCCGCCGCCGCGCACCGAAATCAGCAGGTCGTTCTCCCTGGCGAAGTTAACCGAGTTGATCACGTCGGCCGTTCCGCTGCAGCGGGCGATAAGGGCGGGCCGTTTGTCGATCATGGCGTTCCAGATCCGTCGGGCGCTGTCGTAGCCCTCGTCGCCGGGGCGCAGCGTCTCCCCGTGCAGGCCGCCCCTGAAGTCCTCGACTGCCGCCTCGCTGATGACAGTGTAATCGCCGGAAAGGGTCGCGAAATTCAGGTCTGTCATACGTTATTCCTCCTGTGTGCTTCTCGACGCCCCTGGAGCCGCTCTGACAATGATGGTCGCTCGCCCCAAACGCATTCGGAGGCCGGTCTTGTCCGCTTTGACCGCTGCCGATTATATGCCCGACGCGAGACCGCCGCCACTGGAACGCCCCATAGAGTCCGCACCGGCGCGGAGTGCAGACAGCCGCTGACCAGGTTCTTTCAATTGTCTCCTAATGTCATTGCGAGCGCAGCGTGGCAATCTCGTAGCCGTATCGATCAACGCTGTCGCCAGCTCACTTCTGACCGCTACGTTCCGATAATTGAAACGCCCTGGCCGCTGACGGCTTCGGCGGACGGCCATCAGACTCTGTGAAATGTTCCCCAATACCGCTGCACCAGCCGGCGCAGGTCCGAGGAGGTCAGGCTGATGGTCGACAAGGAACGGGACTGGGAGTATGGCCAGCCCCGACTGCAACGCACCTTGGTACGTTCGTCCCAAGTCCTCGTCGTGCCAGACGATTGCCGCGTTTTGGCGCAATTCGCCGGGTAGGGCATTTTCGACGGCGATGAGTTCTTCATTGGTGGCGTCCGCCATGTTTTTTCCTTGATTATGGCCTGAAAGAGCTTGATTTCGCCCACCTTCCTTGCGTATTCGGGCAGTACGATGTTTTCCCAATACTCGTTGTCGTTGCGGTTGATTCCGAGGCGCGTGACAGCTTCGTGACATTCCGCACCGTGCTCTCTCATGCAAATGTCACGGTTGCGGCGCATAAAATCTTCGGCTTCCTTGCGGGTGGCGGTGAGTTGCCTGCGTTCGATTTCCGCCTGGGCGATAAACCTGTCAATCACGAGCACGATGCTCTTGTGCGTGGTGTCTTCGCTGGTTGCGGCCATGTTAGTCACTATCCAGAATTCAGCTGCCCGTCGAATATCTCCACGGGTAACGTCTTTGCCCTGGACTGTAGCCACCACTTCTTCGTCCCTGTCTATGGGTTGAAGGGCATCGCTGAGAGTTGTTCCGTTTTGTGCCATGATCGGCTCCGCTACGATGGCCGCAAAAATCACGGTAGCCAGAGCGAGCAGAACGAGAATCAGTGGTTTTTGTCGGATCAAAGTCATGATGTCAGTACGCTATCTTTGGGGCGTTGGTTCACAGGTTTCGGGCGGCACTCTCCAATCAACTCCATAGGAAGTTGATTAGATTGTCTTGGTGGCGCAATAACCCGACGCGCAAATGTAACCTGGGTGATGGGCGATGATATCCACCCGATCGGGCTCGGCATCGATCGGTATCGTGAGCCACCCCCACCTCTGTGTCGGAAATCCAACATCCAACCAAGTCGTCGACCTCAGCAATGCAGTGCAGGAGGCCTCAATGAATACTGCCAGACAGCGTGTAACTGTTGCTAGCGTGGGAGTACGTTATCTCTGGATTGCTGATTGCAAGGCACGACGGATAGTAGGTTAACTTGCACCGAACGGGATATGTATGCTGTTGCCATGCGCGTTGGTGATCATCACTCTTCCGTCCCTTTGTTCAGAAGTGGAGGCCGTACTGTTCATGGACACTAATGCGAGGATACCCCAAGGCCAAGGCATCATCACCGGGTAGTGGTCGTCCGTCGCCGAGATGGAATGGGCGGGAGTGGTCGGGGTCGCGTCCGATAAGGCCCACCCCAAGTACGCAAGTGCCGCCAACGTGCTCAGGGCCACCACCAGTGATGTCATTTTGGTTAAACGGTTCAGTGGCGGTTTGGCGAATGGCATAGATTCCCTCCTGTGTTGTGTGATTCCGGCACCGAGATTGGGGCCGTTCTGTTGTGATAGCCAACAAAAACGGCCCCGCCGGTTGACGGGGCTGGACACAATCGGGAGGTGGACTTTCGCTGGGAGCAGCGCAGCCGCTCCCGCACCAGGGCTGGCCCGGGGCGCGGCAAGTTGTAAAATGACCTGGGTAGGGTAGAACCTATCCGCATGAGAATGGCCTCCTTTCGGTTGTTTGGTTTGACCCAAAAGGCTGGCCCCTTCTCTTTATTTTGGTAACACTATCGTCTCACCTCTATCTGAACTAATACACCCCAGGGCGATTGCATTTGAACCTGAGCCTCGCCGATTGGTATGGTATCCATATTCATAGCTGCCCCTCTGATGTTCAAACCAATGAGTTCAACCTGAGGACAAATACCATGAAATATGATGTGGCAATTGTGGGGGCCGGCTCCGCCGGTTCGGTGCTGGCGGCCCGGCTGTCGGAAGATCCGGGTTGCTCGGTGCTGTTATTGGAAGCCGGGCCGGACTATCCGGATATTGATCGACTGCCCGACGAACTAAGATACGGATTCAACGCCGCTCCCGTACCACCCGCGGCTCGAACGGCCGGCGGCCACCCGGTCTCTTTGACCACCAGTCGCCATAACTGGCAGTTCACGGCAACTGCAACCGACCTGGCGGCGCTTATGTTGGTGCCCCGAGGCAGGGTTACCGGTGGCTCCAGCGCCATTAATTCCTCAGCTTTTTACCGTGGGGTTCCGGAAGATTTTGACGCCTGGGCGTCCCGGGGTAACGACGAGTGGAGTTACGAAAAGGTCCTTCCATTCTTTCGCAAATTGGAAACGGACGTTGACCGGCACGGCGACTATCACGGCTCCGAAGGGCCCATCTTCGTCCACCATGCCAACCCGGATGCTTGGGACGCTGCCCAAAGAGCCTTCTTCAGCGCCTGCCGCGCCAACGGCTTTGCGGAAGCCCACGACCATAACCATCCAGACTCGAACGGGGTCGGCCCAGGCGTGACCAACAACCATGACGGGGTGCGGTTCAGCACCGCCCTTGGCCTACTTGAGCCAGGCCCGCCATCGACTTAACCTGACGGTGCGACCCAATTGCCAGGTCCGCCGAGTTGTTTTTCGAGGCAAGCGTGCGATTGGTCTGCAGGTGGAGAGCGGCGGTCAGACCTTCACCGTTGAAGCTGAGCAGCTTATTCTCAGCGCCGGTGCGGTCGGCTCGCCCCACCTGTTGCTGCTCTCCGGCGTAGGCCCGGCCGGGCAACTGGAGAACCTGGGCGTTCCGGTGGTTCAGGACCTCGCGGGCGTGGGGCGGAACCTGAAAGACCACCCGAAGGTGTACGTTACCTGGGAAGTCGGAGACGGGTTTGTTACTCCATCGAACCGGGGGGCCGGCGGCGCGGCGCTGCGGCTAACCGCTCCCGGCTCCCATCTGAGAAACGATCTGGGAATCAGTCTTTCCGCCCTGGTCGCGCCCCGGGTCAAGGGAACCGCGCCGGCGCCCCAGGCTCAATGGCCACGGGCTGAGGGGGAGGACGCCGCCAGCCGGCACATTGAAATGATGGTCGCCCTGCTGCTGCCCGAAAGCCGGGGGGAACTGACGCTAACCTCGTCCGACTACCGGGTGCAGCCGGCCATGCACTACAATTACCTGGCCGAACCCTTTGACAGAGCGCGGCTGAGGGCCGGCGTTTATCTGGCCCTGGATCTGGCCGGGCGACACGAACTGGCCCCACTTTTGGGGAATCGTATTGAACCCGAGGACGACGACCTGGCGAGCGACGACGCGTTGGACCAATGGCTTCTGAGGGAAGCGACTACCTACTCCCACATTTCCTGCACTTGCAAAATGGGACCGTCCGAAGACCCTCTGGCCGTAGTCAATCAATATGGGGAAGTGCATGGCATGGAAGGGTTGCGCATCGTTGATGCGTCGATCATGCCCGACCTGGTACGCGCTCCCATCAACCCGGCGGTGATAATGGTGGCGGAACGGGTAGCGTACTTTGTCCAGGCCAGCCGGTAAGCAATAATGGGTGACAGAGATGGGGAGGGCACCAGGTCGCCGCCAATGGCCGACGGCATTCTCGCAATGACAGCGCAAAGTGGGTACGCATGAGGTCCAGGACGATTGCAAAATGCGAGCGTGAACCTCTGTCCGCTCATCCTGATCTCGCCGAAGGGTGCCAGCTCAACCGACCAGTGTTTCGGCTAGAGCCTGTTGACGAATGCCTTCATTCCCGCGGATGCTGGAATCCAGCAAGCGCAAAACCGGGCCAGGGTTCCTGTCGCAGGGCCTTTTCTGGGTTTCTGCTTGCGCAGGAACGACGGGTTGAATTTCCAATTGTAAACACGCCCTGATTCGTACTCCCAAGGAGGTTACGCCATGAAATTGGATGGTCAGGTAGCAGTCATTACGGGCTCTGGGCGAGGCATTGGGCGGGCCATCGCCCTAGCCTATGCCCGCGAAGGCGCCAAGCTGGCGCTGGCCGCCCGCAATGAATCTGAGCTGCAAGAGGCTGTCACCGCCGCGTCGGAGCTGGGCGCTGAAGCGATTGCCGTCCGCACCGACGTCACCAGCCAGAAAGACACGGAACGGTTGGCCCATAGAGTAGTAGATCGATTTGGGCGGATTGACGTGCTGGTCAACAACGCCGGAAATGCCGGCCCATCGGGGCCGTTGCAGGGCAACGACATGCCGCGACTGGGTGAACAACATCAACGTTACCGTCACCGGCACTTTCTTCCTGGTATGTCGAGCGTTATCCCCGTATCCTCGTCAAAGGACATATGTTGTGTTTCGGTCTGCGCGGTCCCCGTGAGAATTGGATCTCTTGTGTCGCTGAGTCGGGTCGGGGCCATCGCTCGGAAGCGGGATGCTGTAGTAGATGGTGCCGTCGATTTTGTTGTGGATCACCACTTTGTTTACGAAGGACTGGACCAAGACGCGTGCGGTTTGTTCGTCGTCGGACTCCAGGTAGGTCCTGATGTCGAGCGCGTTCCTGACGATGAGGTCAGGGTTGTTCAGGACACATCAGTGATCCGCATCATCGCCGTTCGAGTTCTTCAATCCGGGATTCTAGGTTCTGCAAATCGGATCGGCGCTGTTGAGGCGTGTGTAGAGCTCTGGGTCTGGGGTCTGGTTTTCACGGTTGCTGTCCGTGTTCGGTCCGTGTCCGCGTTCTCGATAGCCGTCACCAGATTCTTGATCTGGAGTTTTGCTAGCGATTGGGCCTTTTGGAGCTGTTCACGATCGGCCTGTTGCTCCGACAGAAAGGATTCGTTTCTTGGGCCATACTGCGTTTGGACTGCTGATTGAGGCTCTCTTTGGTAAGTATCCTCTCAAGGAGGGCAGTGACGACTTCGCTAAGCACGTCTTGAGCTGCGGGTTTTCGGACTCCGGGCACGCGGCTTTGCTTTTATGCTTCTTCTTCGAGCAAATGAGCGACTTGGTGCCGTCATTGTTCGTGCCGACGTGCATGGGTGATGCGCAATGCCCGCACAGTATCCTCCCGCTGAGCAGGTTGAGACTGCTGTGGCTCCTGGGCCCTGCCGGAGCATTGTGCCTCTCCGCTATGTAACCATTCACCCTGTCCCATTGTTCCGGGGTCACCATGGCCTGATGCGCGTTTTCGCATACTGCCAATGGCTCGCCGTTTGGGATGAGTTCGCTTTCTTGCACCCTGCCCCTGACGGTTGCTCCTCTGCACTGCATGCGGGGTTTCGATAGAAGTCGCACTCATCGCGTCGTCCAATCGTTCCTTCGGGTTGCGGATACCAGGGCGTGTTGTAGTGCAGCCACGTGCGTGTGTGTATTTCTAGCTAGGCCCATCTTCCCACTCTTCCGGGCGTGTTTCCTTTTCATTGTTCAGGGTGCGGCCGGAGCTTAGTGTGTTCTTTCTTTTCTACCGTTATTTTGTACTTCTCGAATCCGAAAGGGGTGTAGGGAGAGAGGTAATAACCCATCGACGGTCGCTTGGAACTGGGTGTCGCGGGTCTTTCTCGCAGCTTGGCGGGGCATGATGCTGTTGGACAAAGCATTGAAGCCCCAGGTGATTTCGGACATCTCGTCGCCGGGTATGTATTGGCCTAGGGTGACGGAGTAGACTTTGATGCCGGCTTTCGTGAGCTGCCTCAGGTAGATGTAAAAATCTGTGATGTCCCTGGTGTACCTGGACGGATCGTAAAAGAAGACGGCCTTGATGTTGTTGGCAGGATTCAGGCGAACTGGATCATGGCCTGAAATGCGAGTCTTTTCCGGACAGACGTTCCGGAACCGGTCTCTCGGAATAACCTGATGATTTGGAAGCCCTCTTCCTCGGCCTTGTCGTCCATCTTTGCCGCTTGGGTGTCGACGGATAGCGCCTCGTCCTGTCCGCCTGTTGAAACGCGGCCATATCCGACTGCGTTCAGCAGCATTCAAGATTGTCATCGTACTGTCTCCTGTCAGAGTAGTCGTTTCCCGGTGAAGTGCTCGTAGAGTTGCACCACAAATCGTTGGGCTTCTATTGGTATGTCCTCGGTGGGTTTTTGGTAGCCGACCAAGCTCGGGTCGTCTAGGACAAACCGGAAACTGCGCCGGATGTCCGCAGCTGATAGGTCATGTCCTGCATTCTCTTTCTTCTCTTCTTCAGAACTCGGCCACCTCAAGAGGTCTGCACCGTAGCTGGTGTGGTACGTGGCCAAGCGGGACAGGACCTTCTGGCCTGGACGTTTGTACTGCCGCGTTCGATGTCCGACAGGTATGAGTAAGCGATGCCAGTCTCGTCTTGGAGCTGACGCAGGGAGCGGCCTCCTCGCAAGTCTCGGAGGAACGGGCCGATCGCCGTGAGTTGTTGTTGATTGCCTGTAGAGTTCTCGTCAGGCTCTGTGCCGGCTAGGTCCTCGGGCGTGCTCGCGAAAAGCTCTTCGAGCGGATTTGATGACATTCGGGCTTGTCTCCTATGCGATCGTCTATGTTATAATGGCCGTGCGGTCTTAGAACCGACTTTTGAACAGGAGGACGATATGCATGGCCGTGAACTCGGTCCATTGACTATACATTAACACAGGGAGATGGAAAACACAAACATTGACGTCCAGATGTTTTATAACGAGGACGGTCAGAATAATAACAACGATAAGGGTTTAGACCCTGATACTACGCGCCGGTTGGCGCGGCTAATCGCTCTCAGGGGGGTAAGTCAATTCAAAGAGATGCAGAAGTTGCAGGCCGAAGGTACACTGCCAGAAGATGCGGTTTCTGAATGGGAACAAATGCCAAGGGTAGCCAAGGATTATCAGTCCACCATATGCGCGGACAGTGCGAAGGTGGCGGATTTGTCAGACGCCGATGTTATGGCATCCGGCGAAGGCGATGATCCGGTGATCTCGTTTGAAGAGAAAGCCGAGCCCGAGGGAGACGATAGCGAGTTGGATGACATTGACCAAGTGCCGTTTTGGTGACCGCCGACCGGTTACAACGTTTACACGCCAACGACTACGAGCTGGTTCAAAACGAACCAGCTCGCTTTCATTACTGCGCTTTCGCGCCGTGTTGTGCGGTGGAGCCTAAGGCGTTTTCGACAGAGGTACGCGGTCTGATTCGTGGTCGCTGGATTTTGTTACGCCTGGCACCTTGTCGTTGTAATGGATGACGACACTGATCGGTTCCCACGTCGACACTGCTGACGAACATGTCGAGCAGCTCTTTGGTGTCGTCGGTGACGCTTCGCCCAGGTAAGTGGACAAGTCTTGGGCGTTGGCTCTGATACGGTCCTCGTCGGCAACGAATTCGTACTCGTCCACTTTACGTCTGGATAGACGGGCTTCGAATGAAAGGCCGACGGACGTTTGGTTGATTTCGTCAATCCGCCCGGCCACGTCGTCGAACGACTGTATTCCCTGTTCGACGGGGTACACGATGTTGGACTTGAGTGCGTTCAGTTCCGCTATGGCGGATTCTGTCCGATCCAGGTCATCTGGGAGGCTTTCGGGGCTCTCGTGCCGTAATCGTTGTTTAACCCCAAGAGTAACGACGATCTGGTCCATGGTCTGGTCGTTGATAGTGCGGCTAATGATCCGCTCCACAACGAGATGGACGTCGTACGTAGTCTTGCCGCGATGGCGATTGAGCTGTAGGACAGGCGTCCGTGCGGTCCGTTATCACGGTCGGACAGGAATAGTTGGTCCGCCTTCAGTAGCGGGGCTCCACAGTGGGCGGCAGCGATCCGGTGAGAACAGCGCACATGGACCCGGTAGGTATGGTAGGTTCAGGCATGATGCTCCTCAGTGCGTCCGGTGTAACTGGGCTTCTGTCAGGAAGTGGAGACGCCCAGTCAGTGATAGCGTTGTTCACGTGCGAGGATCTGAGATCCTGGCTTTTGCCGTAATCTCCGTCGAGATTTGACGGCGGCGGTCTTGGTCGCAGGGTTCGGTCGGGCGGATTTCCTCTCACAGCTAGTTCCGCGTATCAGGATGGCTAGGCTGCGCATGACTCTCGCTGCTCGCGGCGTGAGCATTGCCGCGTTCGGGTCTCGGCTCGAATGGAGTTTTCAGGCGAGCAGGGGAGGGGACGGAAATGCGAACACAGGAGCGGTCCTGCGGATCACGGGAATGTCTTCTGGCCACCGCGGCTCGTTGTGATGTTCTACTGTTGCGTGAACTGTGGCGGTGGTGTGTGCTAACCGACGGCCGAGCCGTCACACCGCGACGTTTTGCAGATCGCAGCTGCTCCGGAATAGCGACCAGACGGTTTGTGATCGTCGGAGTGCCGGCGTGAGGCTTGAATGGTCCTCTGGAGTTTGTGAGGATGAATGTGCGACCGGTTCGGTCGATCGTCGACGATGAACACAGCGGGAGCATGTAGGGATGCTCTGGACTTGTATGCTTTTTGGTTGGGCTGTGGCCATTCGTCTCCTGGAGAGTCCGTGCGTACCCGACCGTGGCAAGAGAAGGGCAGGCCGGAGCTGCCCTCGTCGGTAGCGAAGTGGGTTGCTTTCTGATTAACTGTCAATGTGGCGAATTGCTGACTCTGGACATGGTCTC